GTTAGAAGCATGTAGGCTGGCTAGCTATGCGCCGAGAAACCGAGGGAGACGAGGAGACGAGAGCGCAGAGAAGTCATAAAGCCGATATCTGGTTTGAATACCTGTGGGTGAACCTAAAGCTAGCTGCCTTTGTCTCTACTGCTCTTGTCGAGCGCATTCAAATACGAGAGCCAAAAGCCGGACGTCGGGGTTCCGCGTTTGACGAGTGCAATAGAAACAAAGGGTACATTTTTCTCCACCGCAGTCGTCGAACGCGTTCAAATACGAAAGCCAATCGCCGGAATCCAGTGTTCCGCTTTTTATTGCTTTCGGCGAGTGCAGTGTAGAAAAAGGCAGCTAGCTTTACGTCTACACACTAATGATACCATCAGAGTTCAATGTTCTGACGTCCACGCACGCTCTCGTCACCTCCTCTCCCTCAGTTTCTCGGCGCATAGTTTGTGATTAGATGCGACCTAATTTAGGACAATTGCTTCATTTTAGCTAGGGATGAGGTTTTGTTTCTGAACCTGATATTTTGAGAAAGATATAGTAGAAAATGCATCACGCCAAAGTAGTTTTTTGCAACATCTATTATTCTTGAGCCCGCCAAGAACGGTGCGTCCAAGCCAGCATTCCCGAACCCAAGATGCGGGTCAAGTAAAAAAGGGCTTATTTAGTTGGTTTCCCCAAGAACAAAACAGAACCATGACAGTGAATCTTTACATACCGTGATAATATATCTCATAGGAAATTCCCCAAAATAGAATGAATACATATTCGATTAAAAAAATCCGCGTAAAATAACTTGAAACTTTAGGTTGTTTCAAGTTTGAAGCAAAAAAAATAAAAGCCTATGTAACTAGTTATCTCAAAACTACAACAAAGAAACGTCCTACACTATTTGTACTCTGTCAATTTTTACGCAACCGACGCAGACACCAAAAACGAAGTAAAAAGTCGCGTAAAAAATTGCCTCGAATATCTTACAATTTTAGATTTTAAACAAGTTTGGAGCAAGACATAATTAATTTACTAACAAACTTAGACGAAGAATATCTGGAAATAACTTCAGATAGCTCATGCTTGAGGGTTCACACTGGTGATTATTTTCTATCATTTTTCTTACTGGTTGAGTTCTTGCGGCAATTTCAAACTCAGGCAAAATCAGTAAGTTATCGATTCTGTTAAACAATACCCATAAAAACAAAGAAAAAATCTTCTTGCTTAAAAAAGAAATAGTCGTTCTGAACATTTCAAGTTGAAAAAATTTAGTAGTCTTTAGGGGCATTTACCAACAGTGAAATTTGGCAAAATTGTGTGATGCACGTTAAAAAAAACCTCTCCCCCTCCCCGCACCCCCCCCCCCCCCCCCCCGGGGCTGGCGGTCACAACTACTGATCTATGTTCACACGTCACTCTGCACTAGCATATATTCCAGTATATCCGGGACACTCGTCGACTCATTTAATTGCCTGACCCAACTTCGCGGAGTCTTAATATCACACCCTAACTTTTCTAAACCTGATTTCGTGAAAAGCAGTGAGTCGTGTAAACATTATTTGAAACTGAAACTCTGGAGGAACATGAAAACCGGACTTCGAACTTTGCAAACTTGGACCTAAAAGAAATTAAAAATCTTCGAAATTTTTTTTCGAAAGTATCGTTAAAAGAGAATCGAAACCTTCGAACTTTTCGAACTTTATGTAGATAGAAGTTCGAAATCTTAGATTTTTTGAACTTTATCTCTATAAAACTTCGAATCGTTCGAATTTTTCGATTTTATATCCAAATAATTTCGCAATCTTCGAATTTTCGAATTTAAAATCCCAGATTTTCGAAATTTTCGAATATCTCGAATTTCAAGCGAAGGAAAGTTCGAAATCTTCAGATTTATTGAACGTCAAGTAAAAAAATATTTGAAATATTCAAACCCGAAATTTTAGGAACCGTGAAATCTTCGAACTTTTTGAATTCGAAGCTCGGTTTATACGAAAATATTGAAATTTTGCGAATTCGAACCTCACTTCACTTTGAAAATATCAAAACCTTTCGAAATCGAACCTAGCGTGGTTCGCGACATCCCTAGTTCTCTATGACTCGAGCGATGATACATCGTTATTTCGAACGAAATTGAAGGCCCAACATGCCCGGGACAAGCTTGGTCGAATTCAACTAAAAATAACCATGACTATCAATCAGCGCAAGAGTATATATTTATAACAGGTGTCTCAGAAAGCGAAACTATCTGGGTACATTTAAAAAAGTCATGAAAACACAAAAGCTTAAGAAGAATTTGCTGCCTTTGGGAACAGGACTCTCAATGACGAAAAAGAGAAGTGACGCCAAGTGAAGACCAGCCAAACTCTGCCTACACCGCGATTTCCGGTTAGTACAGTTGTTATTTAGCGTTACTAAAACCTTTAATATAACGTGAAGAGGTTGTTAAGAAACTTGAAGACTTAACCGCATTAAAAATTAAAAAAAGCAGAACATTTTGAAGCATATTACTATTGTAACACTTGGGCAACATGTCCAAAGAATGCGGAAGGCAAGTACGTCTGCTCTTGCGCAGGGGGTAGGGGTGACGTCAGAACACCGAGCCACAATTGGCTAATCGCGACCCCCTATCTGAGTATCGTCTGCTTCTTTGCAACGTCGTCCGCTCGCAACGTCGTTGCGAGCAGACGACGTTGCAAGTTGTCTTACGTACTACTTACGATCAAATCAGCATGGCCGACAGCGTCGCTCAGTTACTCGATCGCGACGACCAACGGACGTTCATTTTTGTACGCGCTCTTCTCACGCGTCCCGACAACAAGCAGCAAGAAAAAAAGTAAAAAGTACTTGAAATAAACCACGACTAACAAGAACACTGGATCCACAAACACCCGTTAAATGCACCAACGGCCACGATTCCACTGACTCCGAACAAGCGAGCTCGGCAGATAGGCCTAGCAGGCACTCCTACTCGGCGCAGCGGTGCTCCGACGGTCCTTGGCCAAGACTGTCTGCCCACGACCGGCTGGCATACTAAATGGAATATGCCCGCGCGACCCTTGTGAACCCTTGTGAACCCTTCGCGTATTATACTTTGATTCCTGACCTCAATTTTAGATTAAGAGGTCAATCTCTTTTTCTTGTCATCTCTTTGTTTTCCAAAGCAGCGGTGACTCTCGCCGGTGAAAAGGCGGTGAATCTCCGACCGACGCAGGAAAGGTAAAGCAGCCATCACTTTGACTAGCAGACATAAAGCAGACGTGAACTGCGCCAACCCGCCGAGTGAGGAGTCTCGCCGCACACGAGAGGAGGGAAAAAGTATTTGGGAAGGAACTTGCGGACACTAACACGCTCACTCTCGGTTCTTAGCAAAGAAACCTCGGCCCCTCGGGACACCTCACCTGTGAGTCCTTTGACTTCTCTCCTTGATGCGCTTCTGCTAGTTGTTAGACAAAAACAACGTAAAGCTCGAGTTATTTCGTCTGCCCTCTCTGAAAGGCGAAGTCGAGCTCGCTTGTAGAGACCTGCACTTCCGAGAGTCGCAGGAAAAGTAAGACAGACGCAGACGACGTTGCAAGCAGACGACGTTGCAAAGGAGCAGACGACGCTGAGATAGGGGGTCGCGATCAACCAATCAGGGCTCGGCGTTCTGACGTCACCGCTACTTCCTTTCTCATGCGCAGAAAACAAAAATGATCCCACTTGCGAGGCGCATTGTTTTGATTAGAGATGAGCTGCTTAAACCAGCAAATATTAAAGGGCAACCGAAACTCCACTTGACTACTCTGTAGAATAAACAAATGAGACTTGTAGAATATGTGCGTAGGGCGCAATGGGCATCGGGATGATAAAAAGTACCTCCATGGGCGTACCAACCGGGGGGGCAAGGGGGGCACCTGGCCTCCCCCCCCCCTCCCAGTTCTCAGAGTGGTGGACAAGGCATGTGTATTGCTCCCCCCCCCCTCCCCCTTCCCCTGAAACATCCGCCACTGGGCAGGGCAAACGCTGGCCGGCGAGGCCCACGGAATACCCAAGGGCACCGCCCCCCGGCCCTGGGGGGGGGGGGGGTCTTGTTTCTCCCCCCCCCCCCCCTCACAAACAAGTTGGTACGCCACTGGGTACCTCGGAAAAGATGAATTCCTGAATCCAAACGGCGAGCTACTTTCGTGATTAAATTACCTAAAGCTTTAAGGCCCGAAATTGCAACGGTCGAAGTTGCCTCAACAGGAAAGAACAAACTATAGAAGTCGAAACAACCACTTCAGTTATTGACCTCCTGAAATATAACATATATTCTATGAGTTTGCAGTGTTTTTAACTTTTTGTAGGTTTATGTTGTTTTTGTTTTGTTTCTTTTTTGTTTTTGTTCCTTCAAGTTGATGTGCAGAATTTTAGAGAATGAGGTATAATTAGGCCGTACACTCTCCGGTGTTTATTTATGTTAAAAATCGGCGGATATTTTTCGGTGTTTACTTATTTCCAAAATACCGGTGTCTTTCGGTAAATTTTCTTGTGCAGGCGCTTAAATGGCTTTTTTTGATGGGAAAAATCGCGAAAAGAAATGGTTGACTTTTTTTACATCTGATACACAATGTTCTTCACACTTCATTGTTGTAGTATATGCATGCATACGACCTCAGCTTTCAGGTCACTTATCTTACATTCATCGTGCACAATAAGGTTGTATAGGCTTTCATGTTGAACAAATTCCTCTGGCAGCTTCAGCTCGACGCAAGGATTAACTATCTGCACGCTAAACCGGAACAAGTCATCCATGAACTGCAGGTCATTAGAGATGCTGCGCGAAACAATCCTAATTTACTTGCCTTCGATTGAGCATGACGAATGTCTACATCGAACTTTTTCGGTGAAAAAAGAAAGGCTGCTAGTACGAAAATATACAAAAACTTGTATTTTCGGTTTTAAGTCATTATTATTTTCGAAACCGCCCGATGTTTACCTTTTTTTTCGTTATAACGGGAAAGTATGCATCCTAAGTACAATGCACCGTTCTCACTTACCATTTTCCTCGTCCAAGACTCTTAATATGTCGCAACACTTAAAGTCAGAGTAAATGAGCTGGTATCGTTTTCCATTTTGAGCATCTAAAGAAATATAACCAAGTTATTACAACTGAGAACATCGCTGATCTTTGATATAATGTGGAGCCATTACGCGGTAGATATTTTAAATTATAAAGCAAATGAAAAATTTAATATTCATATTTTGTGTTATCTTTATTCTGCTATACACAAAAAGAATGCTGGTAGAAGAGTGGTAACAGTAGATATTTATTTGATAAAAAAATCGTGAGCCATTCCACTCTGTGAAAGTGGATTACCAGAGGAGCTGTTTAGTACAGGACACAGATGTGACACAGAATAATGAATACTGAACAAAGGTACGAACATTTTTATGGTCTTGATCGGTGGTCATCGTGACGAAAGGTGCGCACACATATTTATTGTTGTCTTGATCGGTGGTCATTATTTCGCGTGGACGACTATCGCCACCCCGAGGAGCCGGAGGGGACTAGACACGCGCGACAGGACCGCCACCCGATGGAAAGTAGACACGCGCGACGGGACCACTACCCCGGGAGGGCGCAAGCAAAGGAAACTAGGCACGCAAGCGCTTGGAACGACGACAATGAGAGGGCGGTGCGAGCGTAGACATGGCCGACGCGGGTCGCACAGCGGCAAACCTTTGAGAAACCTTTATTATCTACCTGAAAGTCTACTGATCTTTAAAATTGTACCTATTCACAACTAATCTACTGAATTGCTGAATAGAGCTATAGCTTAATTACCCAAGCCTCAAGGAGAATGCAGGGAATGGCGTTCCACGCGCAACCCGTGACAGCGTCTGCAGCAGTAACTGTTCGAAAGCAAAAGACTAAAACAAATGGTATCATGCACGAGCTTTCGTCAACGCAATATCTTGGTTATTAGACAGTTTTAGTATAGCGTTGCTGGGTCTTACGTACGCAATAGGCAATAGTATAGCGTACGCTAAAAATGACGTGCTCCGACTGAATTTAGTTGTGCGTTACGTTTTCGAGTGAACACCGCGCATGATCTTGGTTAAATTTTCTAGGGCCGTAGAATTCCGCGTGCTTATAGCGCAACCATGCTCCTGGAAAGAAATATTGAAAATGAAAACGTGTCCAATCATTTTATTTCAAATTAAACCAGCCACAACTGCCTCGTCAAGCGCGCTTTTCTGCGGGGTACAGAGGCAATCCCGCAATTCAGTTAAAGTCTCTGCTACTCCTCCGTGAAGCACCCGCTGATGTGCGCTACATATAAGCAACCCGGTGAAGCGATGTGCGTTGGGGAGTATGACAGCGGGTGTTTAAGGCCTTCTGACGCGTTTAGTTGTTGAGCCAACCGCCTACGCGTGAAACTCCAATGTCATCTATGAAAGGTGTCAAATATTTTAGTTTCGATGACTTGTTCAGTGGCCTTCCATTTCGTAGGTTTTGAAGTTCTTCCAAGAATTCTTTTTTTTTTTTGTGACCTTTATCTAGTATTGTTCCGCCTTTTTTAGTTCTGCCGTTGAAAGGTAGTTAGACGACTCCTTCAGTACGCCAGTGTTTTCTTTGAAACGGTGAATCCAAGCAGTGACGCGTAGGACCTTTGAGAGGTCGCTGTAGCGTTGCAAGTAAAGAACAGGATCGTCTACGGTAGTTGTTACTTGTAGTATATTGGTTTTGATGTCATTGTGTTTCATTTCGTCTAGGTCGTCTCGTTCGGGATGCGCCTGTGGCCATTCGGGTGACGGTTTCTTGAGCCCAGAAGGACCAGTCCACCACAGTTTGTTTGACTCTAGGTTTGACGCGGAGAGTCCTCTTGTTAGGCAGTCTGCCGGGTTTCATTTACGCGGGCAGAATGTTTAGCAAGCTGTAGGCGTGTTGTTTTGGATCTCGCTCACTCCATTGGCAACAAATGTCTCCCAACGGTGACTTTGACCTTGTATCCACTTCCACGTTATGGTAGACTCTGTCCACAAGTATACTTCGTGGTCTTAAAGAGACAATAGGGATTTTTCGTAGATCGTTTTGGCCTTTCCGCAACACTATCCGCTACCCGCTACGAGGCGCGCTAATAGACGCATAGCGGAGACTCAAAAAAGTGCTTTCGTAGACCGTTCTCTGCGGGCTACGGTACTGCGATTATGACAGCGCCACTAGCTGTCGTGAAAAGCACTATATAAAACATTAAACGCATACCATTACTGCAACCACGTATTTGTTTCATCAGAGTGCCTCTTTTCGAACACAAGACATGGTTAGTTTACGATTATGAACGTTAATCTTTTTTCTGGATAAATTCTTCGTAGCACATCTTGCCAGCTTGCGGTAATCGCGATTTGCTTAAAGTCATATTCAGTTCGGTTAAGCCAATGCTCTCTTTGCTATCTCGCGCTCTCTTATTTTCGTGGACGCGTTCTCCGCCAATTCCCGAAGATGTAGCGGCTCAGCGTTCTTGAGGACCAACTTTTATTGTCCAATTTAAGTTGGAGGGAAATAGAGGATGTGTATTTGATGTTTTCGGAGCCGCCAAAGCGGTGTTATGTTATTTCACTGATGTGCGCCACTGGTATGGTGTAGTTTTGGAATTTGTAATCTATAAACGGGGAAACAGTACTGTTCTTTTTTTTTTTTTTAGGCGCTACCGACTGTTGATCAGCAAAGAATTTTGTCTTTAGTCTTTAGACTTTATTTATTTGGCTCTGGAGAGCCGCGGCACCGCGGAAAGGCACCAGCTCGTACCATGAAGGCCCGCGGTGCCGCGTCTAGAGAACATGATAATGTCATCAGTACATACGTGGATAATGACGACGACATGGATTGTTTGTATTGGGGAGGATGGCAGTACGATTCGCAGAAGTCCAGATTTTGTGGAGGCGGGTTGGGCGGGTGAGAATCGAGCTGGGGGATCTGGCACACCGTTCGATCGGCGCATGAAGGAGCCTTCGGAACATTATGGCGCTGTTACTCACTGGGGTCCACTGCGGTCGATGCATCAGGCTCCAAGGAGGTAGCCCAGTCAAAGTAGAAGCTGCCGCCTCCAAGGCACCAGGGCTCAGATTGAGGCACCGCCGTTGCCCGGTGTGTCATCCTCTCAACGTCGTCATCATTGCGTTTTTATTTATACGCGTATATATGTATAAATAAAATAAGATGGGTAAAAAGACACACAATCGAATGGCCAGCGTATCTCGAGATCCGCTATTTTACGGTGACTAAGAGTTTTATTATTCTGTCCGGCCAAAGCATCTGTGTTACACTAAGACTGGGTTCTTTAGGATATCTACAGGTATTTTTCGCAGCAAATGGCTTCCAATCAAGAACACGAGTTTGTTCTCGGCCACCGAGAGCAAGTATTTTCAAGGTGAGCTATTGCCCGCCTATATGAGCTTTGTATTTCATTCCTCTTGAATGCCATAACCTATGTGTAGTGGTCTTGCATTAGTATTTTGTTGTCTCTCTTCTGCAAAAACACCCAAGTTTTACTATGACCGGGTTCTTTCTTATACATGCAGGTCTTGGTGGCAAGCACCAGCCAATCAAGGCCAGAAGTTTGCTCTTTGCCGCGCATGGCAAGTGTTTTCAAGGTGAGTGATTGACGCTCATCTGAGTTGTGCGTTTCATTCTTCACAGACACTCTATGTCCTGTCTTTATAGTGGTCTTGTGTCAGGCTTTTGTGTCTCTGTCCGGTCAAAGCATCTGTGTTAGACTAAGACTCGGTTCTTTAGGATATCTGCAGGTATTCTTTGCAGCAAATGGCTGCCAATCAGGAACACGTGTTTGTTCTTGGCCACTAAGAGCAAGTATTTTCAAGGTGAGCTATTGCCCACCTATATCAGTTTTGTGTTTCATTCCTTTTGGATGCCATTTCCTATGTGTAGTGGTCTTGCACTAGTATTTTGTTGTCTCTCTTCTGCAAAAGCACCCAAGTTTAATTAAGACCGGGTTCTTTCTTATACATGCAGGTCTTGGTGGCAAGAACCAGCCAATCAAGGCCAGAAGTTTGTTTTTTGCCGCGCATGGCAAGTGTTTTCAAGGTGAGTGATTGATGCCTATCTCAGTAGTTTGTTTCATTCCTCACAAACACTCTATTTTCTGTTTGTATAGGCTCCTTGCACATGGCGTCATTTCCGATGCCCTCCAGAGAAAAGGGGAAGAAGGAGCTCCCCTCTTATCAGGATCCTCCTTTGTGCCTCCCGGATTTGCACAGGCGTCGCCATTCTCCTCCCAGAAGATTATAGAAGATTAACCTGTCACTCAAAATTCTTACAAAAGCAGCTTCCATCTCCTCCTTTTACTTGGTGTTCAAAAGTGTGCGATGTGACGTCAGTGCAAGGAGCCTATAGTGGTCTTGTTTCAGGCTTTTGTGTCTCTGTCCGGCCAAAGCATCTGTGTTAGACTAATCTTTAGGATATGTGCAGCAATTCTTGGCAGCAAGTGGCTGCCAATCAGGAACACGAGTTTGTTCTCGGCCACCAAAAGCAAGTATTTTCAAGGCGAGCTATTGCCCGCCTATATGAGTTTTAGCATTCATCAAGGAGCGCAAAATCAAAGCCTGGGGGTTAACCATTGCAAAAATGTTGACTTAGAAGCGCATAGGGAGGAAGTTTTATAGAAGTATCCACCTGCAATTCTACAAGACAAACCAAAACTAAGAATGTGGGTTCCATTTGAAAAAAAAAAAAAAAAAAAAACATTGTCAGCCCGAATTAACTCGGGGGCGGCACGGAGCAAACAAGCCACGGTACGAGTATGCTTGGTTCAGGCGTTTGTAGGGGTGGTAGATGACTCGGTGTTTTCTAAAAAAAAATATATTTTTTCTAAAAGTGTGGTGGTCGAACATTCAGGGATGGGCATTGAGTCGGGATGTTAAGGTAAAAATTTCATCCACATGCCGGGATTCATGTGCCTTGTCCCCCTAGCGAGGGGGACAAGGCCTTCAAAATTTGGGGTTCGCAAAAGGGGTGCGTCACTATTGACGTCTCATTTTACATCATGCGTCTCAATTTAAAACGCACTATAAATGACATGCCTGAGATTCGTTTGGGTGTACTTCCTCTCAGCAAGTATAT